TGCCTTCCTCTTCGCCTGCCTCTGCGCTTGGCAAGACCTTATTGTGGCCTTTTTTTTACTTATTTTAATATTAGTTCGGTATTTTATCGCTTTGATAGTACACAGTATGTCTTTACAGGTTCTTCTGGAGTCTTAGTACTCAACTACTCTTGCAAGTCACACGCTGCTGTGATTCACTGAAATTACTTTTGACTTACAAGAAACTGTCATATTATCACACTTTAAAAAAAAACAAACACAGCTTGATGTTAACTTGTTAGCAATCTGCCTGTAATCTTGCTTGCCCAGCAACACTCTTTGCTCGTGTTATTTTTAAAGCACAGCACACAGACCCCTCCCAAAGCCCTGTGCTGGGATCACTTAATTATTTCTGTTTTGAGATTGAGTTAGAGCCTACTCACAATGCGTGTGTATTTGGCATGTCTCCTGTTAGAAATCTGTAAATCAGGTGCTTGAAGTATATTGTTCTGTTGGGGTCCATTCACTCATATTTATCTTAAAAAATAAAAAAGCCAAAACCACAAGAATTTTCATAAATGGCTTTTGAATATATTTTGATAACACAAACCAATTTGATAACATACATTACTTGTAGGAACAAATATTTTCATATTACATGTTATTCTCTGGAATCAGGAGGTCTTTGTCAAATACCTGTTTTCAGTTTGCTGGATTAAAGTGTGGTTACTTTCCAGTTCATGAGATTACCTAAAAAGATTTTTTTTTCTTCCTTCTCCTCCCTTGCTCCCTTAAATATATACTTTAAAGAAGATTAGAGTGTCTCTTATGAGAGAATTCATAGATCAAAGGTATCATCTGTTTAGCAATTTAAATATAGTTTATTTTTCCTGCTGGCAGGTAGAATGGGAAGAATAACAACAGTTTATACTTGTTGAGAGAGACTTATTATGTTGGTTATGTATTTAAACAAATAAAGCCTCTATATTTCTGTATTTCCTCACCCTACAGTTTTATTTTGTTTTCCTGTTTGTAAAATTAAAGGCTTGCATGGGAGAAAGATCTGCAACTGCCTTAAGTATTGTAAAAAAATCCAACCACCAAGACCCAAACAAAAACCCTTAAAACCTTTAGCTGGGCAAGAACACTTAGAGAACTTTGGATATGTAGGGAATAAAACATGTGATACGGTTTGTATAGAGCTGGTTTAATAAGGACACCCGTGTGGGAAAATGGTGTTCCCAAGGATATTAATGCTGTACCAAGAATGTCGGGATGAAATTTTTGTGGCTTATAATGAACAAATGAATGGCAATATGTTACCGTCTTTTTTGATGGTGAAATAAATGAATGGTCAAAATTAAATTATGATGGCTCAAAAAAAGAAATTCTAACACTATGTTCTAACGTTATTAGAAGTTTTCCCATAGAACAGAGGGATTTTTTTAAGAATTATTTTAAATGGGAAATATGCATCTCACTTTTGCCATAGGCTACATGCCCCCAGTTTCTGATGGTATATATTTTATACATTGTTTCAGGAAATGGTACAGTTGTTGCTGTGCAGCTGGATGTTGCTGAATAGTGTTTCTATGAGCTTGTTGTTCAGTCTGTCAGTTCAGGATGGCGAAGAACCCTAATTTTCAGGAAGTTGGTCATCTACCAACAGGCTACGTCCACTGTAGATCTTCAGATAGTTTTACTGGTGAGTGGACCAATGTATTTTATTGAGATTTTAACTTAAGTGTTTAGTTGTATGCCATTTTAACCACCTTGTATCGAGTGCATTAATACCTGTTTTATATGTGTGTTAATAATCTGCACTTAGTATATTGTTCTTTGTACCTAGCTGAACTTATTCCTACTCCTCTATTGGAGGAATATGTCTTTGAGCAGAACGTAAAATGTTAACACTACACCACTTAAGTAATGGGAATGTATTTACAGATGAGCGGTGCATAACTTCCCACATGCTTTAAGTCAAAACATTTTTGGTACTAAATTGTTGTTTAGAATACTGTCATTGAATGATGTGATTATTTACCATTAACGTGAGTTAACATCTGCTTTTCTTTTAATCCTTTCTCAACAGAAGAGTTGGAGATGACACTTAAAAAATTCTGTGAATTTCATTTACTTGATCTTTCATATTCTATAGCTATAAATTCGTACTGCATTGACTGTGTTGTTGTTATTGGATACTAAGTATCAGAACATGTTTGTGTGTTTTCCTTTCTGTTACAATTTTCACACATAGTCAACTTTGTTACTGTTATTTAGAAGTACAAAGGAACTTCTGTAGCAAGGGTTCTGAGAGAATCAAAGTATTTTACTGGAGTTATACTCTGTGTGTGTCGAAATATTTACTAAAAATTCGTGTTTCCTGAGATGTTAGCTTATTGTACCAGAACTTAGGAGGACAAAATATTTTTGTGTAAAAAGACATGTGTATATCCATTAAAAAAACCCAAACTATATGATTTGAAACAATGGTATGTTTCTACAGTAGCCTTACTGTCACACCTACCATGTTCTGTGAGTCTATGGTAATAGAAATTGTAGTCAAAGTGATATTTTCCTGGAATTTATTTAAAGCATAGCAAAATATTTTATGAAGTAGTGGATTACAAAACATTGAAATACTACTGAAAGCCCTTCTAGTCTACTGAGAACCAATTCCTATTTCTAGATAAAATAGCAGTGTGAGAGAATTATATTTAAGAAAATTCCCTTTGTGTAATTCTGACAGAATCTAGGTACAAACTAGATAATGAAGGAATTAAGTGTTTTAAGGATATGAAATTATTTACTCAGTGTTTATAATCCAGATTTATTTCATAAAATTTTTGATTCTAGCAATAGTCTGTCTACTTGCATTTATTTCTAGAGTTTCAATAGGGTTATCAGTGATGTAAATATTTTTTACTCATATTAAAAAAAAATCCATACTATTAATGAACAATTTCTTAAATTCCTTTTTCTGTGCCTAGTATATAAACAACTCTTCCATGTTTCATTGAAACAGCACTGCGTTTCAGAGGACTGTTTAGTAATAGCCCAAATGACGTGGGGGAAGTGACTGAGTACTGGTCTTTGTTGCAGCTCTGGTTTAAGAGTTGTTTAGTAAAGATGTCATTGGGGTTTTGCTGTTATTGCTGCATTTTCTAGATCACATTTTTGTGCGCTGTAACATGTTACATCTTACTTACTAAAAAGAAATATAGCAAGCTGAAAACTGTGGGAGTTTTGTTGTTTTTCATGGCACACGTGTAATATTGCACATTGCCTTATGTAATAAATACTAGGCCGCATTTTTCAACATGCTCACTGTTTAAGATGGCCACCAAGAAGCATGTCTTCCAATGGGATCTTAGACAGAAGTGATTTGTAGGCCTTCGGACTTAACAGATACCTGTTGAGATTGTTTCAGTTTTAATAGTGCCTCAGACTGACCGAGAAGATTGTTTGGGGCATGGACAAAGCTGCAGCAGCTGACTCCTGAAGCAGTTAATTAGCTCTGATTAACTCCTGGAAATAGGTTATGGTGCTGGCAAGAGGCTGGTAAATGGCTTGGCCTCTTGTTCTGAAGTTGGTTAAGTGTTGTTCTTTGACGGCCAGGAAGAGTAAACACCTGTATTCTCTGAAAGGATGGTGTTTGATGACAGAAGATGCCAAAGGGATCCAAGCTCCCGGCAGCGTCAATCTTTTTTTATTGTAAATAATACTTCGAGTTGCAACTAAAAAAATATATGTTTAGCTATACAGGGAAGTTGTGAGCTCATAGCAACTTGCCACAGCTGAAACAGTATATTACTTTTTACTTCCTCAAACAAGAAGTGTGCAGATCACTTCAAGCGTTGACTGAATTTGCACCATTAATTAATCCAGTCTGGGAAGATCTGAAGTCATGTATTATTTGGTTCTGTATTTTGAAGGTGGGACTGCTTTATATGGAAAATCCACAATACAGATGAAACTTGCATTGGAAATACATAGTAGTACACATAAGTGAGTTTGAGTGCTTCTTCAGTGTACTAGTGTTACCCCGAGAAAGCATATAAGGCATGTCCCTAATTTCATAAAGTTGCCAGTAGCCAATACTTTGTGTTATGTAAGCATTTGGAAGGCTCCTCAGCCAGAGGCTGGTAGCTGTTATTTACGTGTGATCAGCATGTTCTTGTTTGAAACTGACAATTTAGAATAGTGCATTGTACCAGCAATTTGGAGAGCATTAAACGTCAAAACAAATTTGTCTTGCAGCTTACACACAGGGATTCCTAAATTCCTGCCTTCACTTGCTGTAGTTCAGGGTCTTGATGTTCATAAGGACTGGCATCATTACTGTGTTAGCAGGTGTCCCCAGTTCAGACTTTGCCCTCTTCTGTACAGTGATTCTTGTTTAGAGAAAGATTTATGTACCTTTGAGAGGGAAGTGTGGTTTTGGTTTCATTTATTTATTTAACTTGAAATGGAAACAATTTTCCCTTGAACTTTTCGCCCTATTATTGGCATATGACAACATCCACAGCTACTGGAAACAAAGTTAGTGTGCAGCTGACGGCATTCCCTTATGTTTACCACTTTTATAGTCTTGGTTTTATGCAGACAGTACCTGTTCTTATTTTTTAGAGATATGAGTGGATTGAGGAAACAAAGAAGTAGAATGTAGAAAAATTGGAATTGAAAATAGTTTTTAAATTCAAACTGTGCCTGTACTTGTACATGTGTGAAGTATCATAAATGAGCTTCCCTAATCAATCAAAATCGGAACCAGCAGAAGAGCGATAGTACAGAGTTGCTTGATAATGTGCATGTAAGTCGCATGTAGTTGGCTTGCCTGACTTGTGAATGAAGATCAACAACAGCGATTATAGACTTGTAAGGTGCAGAAGTCTTGAAGGAATGTTGAGGCTTGAGATTTGCAGCTGAGTGACAAATACATCCTTTTGTTTGCTGCTTTGGTGTAACAAAAGATTTTATATTTTGAGGGCATTTCAATTTTACTGTTGTCTATAAACTGTCAAATAATTATGTTGTGATAAATCTTATTGCTGGTATAAATAGATGGAACTGGACTGATGTGAGTTAAGTTAATCTTGCTTGTTACAAAGTAAATGTTACTGGAAGGTTGTGTTGCATAAATCTGTTCAGTGCAGAGTTGTCTTAGCTAATTGTAAATTAACTAGTGCAAATGGAAGAAACAGCCTGCTGTTATGAAAAACTATAGAAATTAATTTACGCCAATGTATTCTGTGTTCCCATGGCTAGGCTGCCTCCAGTGTCTTGACTAGCATTACTGGTTCCACACTGTAACGTTAATTATTTATTTATAATTTATGTGCATTTTAATTCAGATAAAATTGCTTTCTAATCGTAACTAATTAAAATTGTTTAATTTTTAGTCTTTTTGTTGGAAGCTTTTTATTTGAAGTAAATGGATTGGCAGAACAACTAGGTGACGGAATTCTCTGAAATTTTTTCTGTTGGCTAGAATTGTTGATGCAAGCTGCATCGAGTCGTGTTGTAAATGAACTTTAATAGAAAACCTCTTGGTTTCATTTTTTCTTGTAATATATGGTAACTTACACTAGTCGCTTTTTTTTCATAATCACAGCTTGATCTTTGCCATTTTTTTTAATATCTGTGCCCTTTATAATACTGGTTGTTTTCTTTTTCCCTTCAGGCTACCAATATCACCATCCCTCCAAGATGAGTAACAGCCATCCGCTTCGTCCTTACACAGCCGTGGGTGAGATTGACCACGTTCACATTCTGTCAGAGCATATTGGTGCTCTAATGAATGGGGAAGAATATAGTGATGTTACCTTTATTGTAGAAAAGAAACGTTTTCCGGCACACAGAGTGATCCTGGCTGCTAGATGCCATTATTTCAGGTGAAGTATAGCGTTTTGTCAGGCTCACAGGAAATTTTCATGCAGATAAGATAAACATTGTTTCTCTATGAACTTTTCAGGGTGTGATCATCTGTCCATTGAGCGTGACCTTTTCTGTGTGAATGTTTCCCAGCACATCAAATCATTGTGTCCAAATATAAAAAGATAAATACCATGTCATGATGTTATTCTTTTGACCTTCATTAAATTGGATTTTGAAGGTAGTTTCACAAATTCAAGAGAAAGATAACTTCAGAACAGTGAAGTTCTGCTGTAAAATTGTTTTGATTTCTCTGAGTGTGGATGGTCTGCTTCTATGGAATATACTCAATTAGAAAGTTTAATTTTGATGTTTTGGAATTGAGTATTTAAAGAGGTCTGGCTGATAGAGATTAAAATATGTATTTTAAAGCTAAGAATAATACTAATCCATCTTTTTTAGGAGCTGGGCATTTTTCACTCTAAATGTAATTAATAGAACTTTCTGATAATCTTCTTCCAGTTAATTTTGTCAGAGCAATAAGCTAATAACTAAACTAATGTGTGAATGCAAATTGTGTTCAGACTGTCTATGATAATTTAAAAAATAATTGTGAGTGCTTTGATTTTTCTCAACATTCAGGATTTCATCAGAGTTACCATGTACTGGTTTTAGAGTAAGGAATACAGCATCAAGAATACTGAGATTTGCTAATGTGCCACTGCTATTATAGTGGCGAACTATTTGTTTCACTTGCTTTCTGAAAATTTTTCAGTTTTTTTTCTCACTGATAACACTATCTCAATTTCTGCTTTGCAAGCTACTGTTCAAAGTGGAGATGGAGCAATTGTTGTGTAGGATAAAAATATGATACATTAGAATGTTTTTCTCATGCAGCTGCTTTCAGACCAGGGCTGCACTTTAAATGCCAAGTATAAGGGTTTTTCTTTTGTAGATTCTTAAACCATATCCCCTTTGTATTCCCCTTGCTGTAAATAGTAATTTATTATTTTCTCTTTCTATTTTTTGCCTGGTTTTTATCAGGAAATAAATTTCTCAAATTTTATCTTCCTTATAGAGCATTATTGTATGGTGGAATGAGAGAATCTCAGCCTGAAGCCGAAATTCCTCTTCAGGACACCACTGCAGAAGCATTTACCATGCTGTTAAAATATATTTACACTGGTCGTGCTACACTACGAGATGAGAAAGAGGAGGTTCTCCTAGACTTCCTAAGCCTAGCACATAAATATGGGTTCCCAGAACTGGAGGATTCCACGTCTGAGTATCTTTGCACAATACTTAATATTCAGAATGTCTGTATGACATTTGATGTTGCCAGTCTTTATTCCCTTCCCAAATTAACTTGCATGTGCTGTATGTTCATGGATAGAAATGCCCAAGAGGTGCTCTCCAGTGAAGGCTTCCTATCACTTTCTAAGGTATATCTTTTGTTTGTACTTTTTTCCCCAGGAATGCTAATTTTAATCTGTGTACAGCTTCGGGATAAAATACTAATGAGGGCACCAAATACAAGTTTATATGCTAGTTAACAGGTATCATTTTATACTAGTGAAACTGTGACAGTTGGAAATGTTGAAACCAAACTGAACTGAAAATCCTGATGATCTGTTCTGAATTTTTTTGGTATTTAATTTTGACCAGTCAGTAAAACTGAATACAGTAAAACTGATGGAGTGTTCTAAAAGGTGGGAGCAGGCAATCTAATCTTAATTTGTCTTTTTTCATCTGTTCTTGAAATCATGGCTTCTGAATGCTGCCCAGGGGATATAAAGTAAAGATTTGAAGATAGCAGAAGGTCCTTCATTCTGTTAATTTCTTGATACAGGCTGCCTCAGTGATGGGTGATTTTCTACTGTTTAAGCTAAAGCATTTTGGAGGTTGCTGTGATTTATATTGCCAATTGTCATCATGTTCTGAAATTGCATAATATGATGGTGTTGTAGGGTGGTTTGGTTTTTTTGTGTGTTGGTTTTGTTGTTAGGTGCATAAATATTTGTGACCAAGTCAGGCTGTTCTATGAGGTTGAAATTTTCCACTTACTCTGGAGTGGTCTTTAAGCTGAACATAATAGCAAGAGAGTGCTTTCAAGTGGTGTTCACATGAAGCAGCAGAGCATCTTGAATGAATGATGGTTTAATTTTTTTTTTTAAAGTGTTTTTAGTGGAAAAACTGTGATGGGTCTGTTACTTGAATAAGTACAAGACACTGGGCTCAGCTGACTAACTTACTAGTTGTATAGGGTAAAAAATGTGTTTTTTTCTCTCTACTGTACTCTGTTACGCACAGTTAATTAAATATCAGCTCTGAGAGCATATTATCAATAAAGAAATTAGCAAATGTCATTCATTAGGAAGCGCATCCTTTATGACATCTTTGGCATAGCCAGTCCTTGTCTATATGAGAGATTTATCCTTTTCTTATCAAACTCCTAATTATTCTGCTAGTTAAGGGAAAATCAAAAAACTGTTAGATTCTTTTTGTACTCATTTTGCAGCCAGTGGGTTTTCTGTATCAGTAAGAGCCACCGAAGTTTTCACCTGCTGATTCTAAGTTGGTAGCAAAAGAGAGAGACAGTGTGGGGGGAAGGAATCCCAAGTAGTTAAAAATGGTTTAAAAAGGTGATTCCAAGCCACACTTGATTTTTTTTCTCATCAATGTGCTTATACAAGCCTAAGTTTGTAGAATGCTTTGAACTGTACAACCAAATCCCCAAATCACTTCTCATATTCTAAAGCAAATTTGAAGTAGTAACTGGAATTAAATTGATTTGAATAGTTCTCCACATTTCAATTCTGACTTAATTCTCCTAGTGTTTTTGTAATATTACCTGTTATTTACATGATAGATTCTATAATTCTTGCATAAGTAGGTAAAACAAGCTACGTTTTCAGGTAGTTACTCCTTTGGAGATTATTTTTAATAAAACTACAAGTTAAAATACCCATTAATTTTTGCCTTATTTTGATTTCCTTTATTTACTTCTTTTAAAAAATAAATTTACTTTTATTTCTGTTCATTTGGTGGGTTTTTTCTGTTTGTTTTTCTTTTCCAGGCTGCTCTTCTAAGTATTGTACTGAGGGACTCATTTGCAGCTCCTGAGAAGGACATTTTCCAAGCTTTGATGAACTGGTGTAAACATAACCCCAAGGAAAACCATGCCGAAATCATGCAAGCAGTACGTTTGCCACTAATGAGTCTAACAGAGCTACTAAATGTTGTAAGACCTTCTGGATTGTTGTCACCTGATGCCATCCTAGATGCCATTAAGATTCGTTCTGAGAGTCGGGACATGGACCTCAACTACAGGGGCATGTTGAGTAAGCATCGGGTGTTTTGTTTGTTTCTCATTTAGTGATTATAGTCATCTGGAGGATATGGTTAATTTGTACTTCGAGTTTTTATCTATTATTATGTGTTTTACAAGACTGACATAATGAAACATCTTGTTATGTACTGGTCTTGCCATTTCTATTCTTCAAATAATATTAGTCAATATATTTTCTTACTTTGTATCTCAGATACTGCTCAAACATGAATGCTGTAATAAGAATGTATTTTCCTAGAGGAAGTGCTATTTTAATAGAAAAACTTTTGTAAAAACATTAAAAATAAAAATGCATTGGCTACAGGATATATGATTTAAATGGTTTTATGTTGATGGTGACTTGTTTTCTATTTCATGAAGATTTTCATCTTTTCTCCACTACTTTTGATTTTTCTCATACTCTTTACATGCTTGCCCAAGTAGTATAAATGAGTTTTTCCAAAATTGTATTAATGGAAGACTAAGAAGTGTGAGAAGCCTTTTGTTGAACTTTTGTCTGTTCTGTCTGTTAATTTAACAAGAATATCTAACACTGAGCTTTAGAAAGATATTGTTAGTTTCCTATCTAATGTGTGATTTATAGAGAGTATTTGCCCCACAGCAAAAAATAAAGTTAAATGTTCTTTGACAGCCTGCACTGTAGTCAGTCAGTCATGCATGATGAGCCCTGAAAATGATAACTGCTTTCTCAGAACTGCGTCTTCCCTTTGTTCTCTCTTAGAAGTTACAGATATTGATATTTAAACATATGAGTTTAATATTAGGATATTGTAAAAGTCTTGTCATGCAAGACATTCTGGTGGCAATGCAATAGACAAATTTGAAAAAGTTAAATGATGTTTTCTGACTTCTGCATATTTGTGTCTCAAGAATAATATGCTCCTAATCTCAAAAATTCTAGCTTTGTCAAAATCCTAGCTTTATAGAGAATTTAATTTCTGTGTTGTTTTAGTACTAGTTAAAGCTTTTGGGACTTTTTCTGTTTGTGGGAACATTGACGACCACTTGCAATTTCATAGCTGCGCATTTGATGTTTTTATGTAGTAGTACTACGATACAGTTAAAATTTTACCACTTCAAATTCTGTTCTTTAAATGTTTAACTTAACATTCTGTTAAAATTCATACTTCTGTTGCCAACCTACCTGAAGAGTTCAGGGGCAGATTTTCATCATTTAGGTTTCAGATCATGTTTTCTAGGGTCTCTCCTCAAACAAGACTGTTAAAAATGTCTTTTTAACAGGGTGGTTCATCAATGTATTGTTTTGTAGTTGGAGTTAGGGATGATTATCCCTAGTTGTCTTGACGGAAGATCTGTTCCTAGGGTGTAGCAGGTTTATTACTGTGAAGTGGTGGCATAAAAAACTTGCTTTACCATGTTGGTTGAAAGCCCAAGTAGCCACAAGTTTCCCCTTTCACTCAGGTTCATTTGGCTTTGCAGGGTACTGGAAGCTTGTATAGCTATCAAAATAGCTTGTATAGCTTTACTGTTGTATATACCACTGCAAATTCGTGATGCATCCACATTTTGAACATTGTATGTGACTTTGTTTCCTTACACTTAAAAAAAACCTGCACAACCAAAGCAGTTGAAATTGAAACAAAAAAATCAGAAAGTGCAAAAAAATTATTAGAGGTACGGTGAGAGGTTGATCATGAGGAGAGACTAAATAGATCAAAACTTTAAAACCAGCAGGAAGGTGATGATTGAATGAGGAAGGTGCAATAGAATTCTGTAAAATCATGAAGGAGACTGAGAATATAGATACTACTACATACTAGTAAATTATCACTACTTTATTATTACCATAAAAGACCTAGAGGGGCATCAAATGAAATGGATGAAGCAAAATTTTTAAAATGCCTCTCTTCTGGTACCTTTTTTTTTCCTTGAGCATATGTTTGTGGACAAGAAAAGATACTGGCAATAAATCTTTGTTCTGACCTAATACAGTTGATGTTCAGAACATCTGATTTGCAGTATGAGAGTGTAAAAATTAAGCAACTATTTCCTTTTCTTCTTAGTACCAGGGGAAAATATTGCAACAATGAAGTATGGAGCACAGGTTGTAAAAGGGGAGCTGAAGTCTGCTTTATTAGATGGGGACACTCAGAACTATGACTTGGATCATGGCTTCTCTCGACACCCAATTGATGATGACTGCCGTTCTGGAATTGAAATTAAACTCGGCCAGCCATCAATAATCAACCACATACGAATACTCCTGTGGGACAGAGATAGTCGGTAAGTGCCAAGTTGACATAAAAAAGGAAGGTAATGCATTTTGTACTAGTGATAATATATTAATGTGAAATATTTATTAAATATTTTGTAGAAACAGCATGATATGGTGTTGGAGATGACAATGACAAATTTTATTTGAAAACAACCTGTTTTTTAAATGCAGCTTTGGTTACTTACATGCGAGACTGTATTTTGTGATACTAAACTACTTCATAATATTACAATGTGTTTTCTGTGTCTTCATTGAATAGTTTATATTACTAATGAAAGGTTACATAATTAACATTGTTTTAATTGTTTTCTCTTTGCCACTTAGTTTTCAACTGCCTTTTTTTAATTTGAAAAACAATATTCTAGTTCCTTTGCAGAAACCGTATTTTTTACATATTTGCATTCCAAACATTGAAAGAATGTTCAGATTTTTTCAATGTATCAAGATTGTTAAGAAATAACACACTTCGACAATAATTCAGAGACAGTAAAATTTATTTAGAACATGAATTACCAACTAACTACAGTAGTCATTAGAAGCCACTTCATAGTGAGACTAGTGAAGTATGAACTATCATAGATGCCTTAGCCAATTTATGCTCAGCTACTTTAGATTATTAAGGAATGCATGAAAGATCAAATTATGCATATTTCAACAACTGAGTGACTGCTTAAGTAGGAAAATTGCAAGGTTCTTTTGATCTGACAAATTGAATATATTAATTTTATAACTTGCCATGACAAAGATTTTGCAATTTAGTAGACAGCTCATGCAGGTATTCATAAGCAATTTTCTATTAAAAGCAATAAACCAAGCTACTTATACTTTTAACACACTATTACCTTTCTGTTAAAATATTAATCTTATATTACTTCCAGACTAACAGTTTAGAATTGCAAAACAGTTTCATTTTGTTTTCCTAACTGAGCTGTGTTATTTTAGAACAGGGTGTATTAATGTTTTATTGATTTTTATTTTTATTTTTTGTAAATTAAACCATTTAAAAAATATGAATTATGGTTCTTAATCATTCAAAGCAAACTGCATGAATTCTTAGCTATTTAATTGTTTCAAGTAAGTTCTCCTGATTCAGTTCAACTGAAATTTATACTTCTCTATTCCTTTTGGAAAGATTGAAAAGTAAAACTTTGAAGATACAAGGAACTACTTCATACAATAGTATACTACATGTCCCAGAAGATCAACCAAATTTATAAACAAGTTATCAATCGATTTTATAAAATTTGAAAAAGTATTAGAGATATATTAATAACGAGGAGTTCTCTAGCAATTTTTAGAGAGCTTGTAACTGTTTAAATACGCCTCATCTGCAAGGCATAAATTGGCAGCTGCAGAAAATCAGGGGGAAAACTCTTCTCCTTGGGACAACTGATTAAAAAATTATCGGTTGCTTGATGTCCTATGCCCTTCCTCTGAAATTTGTAGAACAAGCCGTTGTTGCTGGCAGAATATCAGACAAGATGGACCTCTACTCTAGAGGTTGGTTTTTTTTGTCTTCATAAAATACCAAGGGTACAGTGGTTTAGGATCTAGTTTCTGTGTCACGCTGAATTTTTTGTTTTTCTGTGACAAGTTTGCTATCAGACTTTCTTTTGCTTCTTATCAGGTATAGTACCTGAATTGTCGGTCTGGTCCGTCCCCCTTCCCCCGGGCCCCGAGTAGCTCAACTGTCTAAGATAAATGGAAAAGAAAAAATATGGAGTACTTTTTCAGTTGTGGGCTCCTCAGTATAAGATACTGACATACTGGAGTGAGTTCAGCAGTTTGTAAGGGCTTGAGCACGTGATGTACAAGGAGATGCTGAGAGAACTTGCTGTTTTAAGAGGAGAAGGCTTAGAAGGGGGAACTCACTGCTATGTTCTCTTATTTAATGGAAGAATGTAGAGACTACAGGACCAGACTCCTCTTATGGCTGCGTGCTGAGAAGGCAAAGAGCAGTGGACACAAGCAACAAGATTAATTCCTATAAATATTAAGAAAAGAATTCATAATGGGGTAGTTGAACTTGGGAAGAGTTTACCCAGAGAGGTTATGGATATCAGCCCTTGGAGGTATGCAGAACTTTACCAGCCAAGACGTTGAGGAACTTTCTCTAAGATTGTCCTTGCTTTTTCTAGAGATCCTTTCCAACCTATATACTCTTTTAGTCTAAGAATTGCCAGCCACTTGTCTGCATCTTTCTCATGGGATGCATGAACGTCTCCAAAAGAGATGTTTTAGCAACTGTACAAGCACATGGTCGCTTCTTGTTGAACGTTGTTTTAAACTACTCATTCATTTTAACTGTCTCTGTGAAGCTCTGGTCTATTGGATATCTTTATATAGATAATGTACAGAATCAAATACAAACTAACGGGTGTCTTTTTCGCCTAGTTTAAAGGTGTTATTAACAGATGAATTTTACATATAAAAGTGCTAAGGAGACTAGCTGTCCAAATTACCCCTGCAAAAAAGATGCTATCCTTAAGAAAAATAAAAGGCATAGTGTTGTGTGTGATAATGGAACTGTGTTTTTGAGATATTTTTTCTTTGTTTGGTACCTTCAGAAACCAAAAAAATAGCATGGTGTATATTGGTTACAAATTTACATTACTCTAGTGATAGTGACGTGAGAATCCCTAAATTCTCACCACACAGAGAACAGAGCCTAGTTTGGTCAAATATGCACAGGCTAGTAATAGTGTTGCTAAAGCACAGTGTATTTATATGGGCTGTGAATATTACACATCTGCTTGATGTGAATGTGAAAGCTGACTATGCAATTAACATCTGAAAGACTCTGCAATACCTTTCTAAGTGCATAAATTGGTATTAACAGTGTCATCTAACATTTTGTACCACTTTAGACATCTACCCCTCTAAGTCTTCAGCAAAAAATTGGAAATATTAACAAAGACGTTAATGTTTAACAGAAAATGTCTATGTGGAACCTTGGAAGAGCAACTCTTCTTTTAGAAATCAGTGTGAAAGGAGGATAAGTGCTAACATGGTGCTGTTGAAATGCCTGTGAATGTTGCAGACGAGTGCATTAAGAGAAAGAAAATACTCTGAATATTTCACAATTTGCTGATCCACAAGTGGAGTTTCTACTTCATTCTAAGTATCGCTGTTGTAGGTATAATATGGAAATAGCTGTGGCTTTTAAGTTCTAGTTTGAGTTTACTTTCTTCTAACAGCGAACTATAAGCTAAACATAATTGATAGCAAGAGGAAGGCACAGATTCTGTTGGTGACTATTCTTATTTTTTATTTTTGATGAGGTAATTTTGGGGTGTGTAAGTAGAGACAGAGCTTAACAATGTATCAAACAACTGAAAGGGTCAGAAGTGAAGAACAACGTCAGTGAGAAAATTATCATAAAGTAACTTTGCTTTTTTCAAGTGAGGGGTTTGAGTTTGCATTTTTGATCTACTAAATTTTTTTTTTATTTTTCTTTATTGATATGGCAATAGAAATAATAACTGTATCACTGGTGCTTTAGGTTTATTCCACTCCACAAGGAGTACAAATTATTATTTTTATGACTGAGTTGAAAATCTCCATTGCGTTTTTTGAGGGACAGTGGTCTCATCTAATTACTGCAGATTGTGAGTGTTAGGATGTTTTAAGTAATTCTGAAAACATATCTTAACTACATGTGAATTTATTTTCAAAGTTAGTTTGAAACTAGGGATCCCTCTTACGTGTCTTAGATACAGGTCTGTGGGTAGGAGCAAATAGCCTTTTTTTCAGCACAACTGAAAATCCAAAAGGAAGTGTAAAATTTAATATGTAAAATGTGGTTGCTTGTTTTCTAAACAGTGTTTTTTTACAATCCATAGGTCTTATTCCTACTACATTGAGGTGTCCATGGATGAGTTAGACTGGATTCGGGTTATCGATCACTCTAAATACCTCTGTCGGTCCTGGCAGAACCTGTATTTTCCTGCGTGTGTCTGCAGGTTAGTTCATCAATGTAATGTTGCATGGCTATCATTAAATAATGTAGATGCCAGAATAAGTTGCTGGATTTTTGTTATTGCATTATGTCTTTCTGATAATGTATGATATACACAACTTTCATTAGTGATCTTAAATTAAATTTGTCTATCTTGATGGGTGCTTTTATAATAGAAATACAGGTGATAAATTACAGGCATCCTGTTTCTAAAACTCTGGTGTTTCCATCTCTAATTATGTATGTCTTTCTCCTTTCTTTTTTCTTTTTTTTTTTGAGTCATACTAACTTTTCCTCTTGTAGCTGATGTGTGTGTTTGTTTTTTCACTCAGTAGTAAACATCATTCCTTGACTGCCAGAATGTTTAAAATGAATTTACATACTTGCTACAGAACTTGGAAATACATTTTTATATATTTGTATACATTTATATGTGTATGTTATGTATTTTCTGCTGTTGCATTGGAAGAGTGTTTTAAACAGTTGTGGAAGAGTGAAAGGGGAGCGTTAGGACTAAGGAGGTTTGAGCAATGCTTTGTGTAAACCAAAGCAGCTACATGGGTTTAATAATTATTAAGATGATGATGTCTTTTTTACTGTAGGTGCTGGGAATTCTGGAAAAAACTTATAATCACATTGAAGCTGTCTTTTCCAAAAGCTGAATCGAGCTCGATGAGGCCACAATCTCTAGATTCTAAAGACGTTATCATTGTTAGGTTTTGGGTCATAGACCCAAAGGGGAAATGCCCTGTATTGTAATAATCTGTAGACACAAGCTTTTTAATTGGCGCAGCAACTCTTGGAATCCCCAAGGAGGAGAAGTGCTTTCTTTTTGCCAAAGAGCAACCTCTTTCTCTCGTTTTTACTGCTCTGCAACATGGGATTGCTGGCAA